CCGTGTTACATCCCAAATATATTTTCCTAAAATTAATTCTATTAGTAATATATTTCTATGGCAGAGACATACTCCTCAAGTGGCTCTGCAGGTGTTACAGCTTTCGCGTTCCTCAGCGGGTTTGGCCTTCCATAAATTCCATGTCTACTATCTGGCCACACAGTTGGTGGTGATCCACGATTGGCTGCTCCCTCATTTGGGAAACACCTACACAGCGACTGAGTTTGCCATACTTACTTTGAATCACTTCAAAATATTTTTAGGGGGGGTCTCCGGCTTACATTCAGGTTCTGCTCTTATTTCTCTGACCCTTCGTATCCTTAAATATGTTATTAATTGGTTGCCTGTGGCTACATGGTCCCACTACACCTTCTCGCCTCGATGGGGCAATCCTTCCTTCCCAGAGCTGCAGCACCTACCAACAGCTGCCTTATGGTCCTCGAAGGGAGTCAAATCCCTCTCTCAATTGTTTCGGAATGGTGTAATGCTCACTTTCTCGCAGGTCAGGGAGGAGCTACAGGTCTCTCCGTCCACTTTTTTGCCATATTTTCAATTGCTTCATGCAGCCCGAGCCCAATTTGGATCGCTTTAGTTTATACAAGTTCAGCCCCCCGTAGAAAAGAAGTTACGTAGAGATATCTCCTCTAAATTGGTATCAACCTATTATGCGAAACTTATGGCCACTAGATTTTCCAGATTTGATAAATGTAAACAAAAGTGGCAGACACTCCTCCCGGATCTAGAACTGGATGATTGGTGTGATTTTGAAAATACATATAGGTCTTCTGTAAAAGCCTCCAGAGATAGAATATTGCAGATACATTTTTTTTACCAGGTCTATTATACCCCTTCTCATTTATGTACCTTGGGTCTCTAGCCCACCCCAAACTGCTTTACGCGCTGTGGTCAGAGAGCGGATTATTTTCACTCCATTTTGTCCTGCCCACGCATACATGCGTTTTGGTCTGACGTTACTTCTTTTATGGAGACTGGACTAGGTTTTCCGAACATACCGTATTTGCCGGTGTATAACACGAGTTTTTAGACTTAAGAACATCCCCCGAAATTCGGGATCGTCTTATACGCCGGGTATAGCCAGTTGGATGTGCGGGAATACAGTATACCGCGCTGAGCCAATCACGGCGAGCGATGTGTTCTATTAATGAATACAAAGCCTGCCGTGACTGGCTCAGCGCGGTATACTGTATGTAGCCGAAGCTACCGTACATACAGTATTACCGCACATCCAGCGGGCTGACAGATTAGCCTACCTGGCGGTCTGATTATTTATTTATTTCGGTTTTTGTTTTTTATAACTTTTTAAATTCCCGCCAGTTCAGCCCCCCTGCGACGCGGACGCTCGCAAGGGACGGAACCCGGAAGACGGAGGACACAGCAGGGATCGTGGACAAGGTAAGAGACTGTAATCCCGAGTGTGGCTCGGGGTTACCGCTTATGGTACTGAAAATTAACCCCGAGCCACACTCGGGAATACCGCCATGGAGGTTAGTGGGTGTATTTAAACGACGAGTATAGCCCAAAACCTATGTTTTAACAGAAAAACTAGGGGGTCGTCTTATACGCCCAGTCGCCTTAAACACCAGCAAATATGGTAGGTAACCCTCTCCTTTTGCCTCTTGCGTCTCTTTGGTGAGCTGATGTTGGATTCTGGGGCTCAAGCCCTTATTCAGATTTTCTGTGGTCAGATGGAAAAAGTGCAACAGATTGGCCCAGGTGGAGATTACTCCATCCACACAGTTAAGAGTAGATGGAGGAATCTGTTGCACCTTTTCCATCTGACCACAGAAAATCTGCAGATAATTGTAAGGTGTATGGCCAGCTTAAGAAGATAGAAGATTTAAGTCGATTTGTAAATATTTAATTGCATGTGTTTTAACCCCTTCGTGACGGAAGACATAAACTGTACGTCCCGCCATGAAGTGCCCAAATGACTGGCAATAATGTTATTATATTATCTGCAGAATCTATATGCTTTTGTTATTGACTAATTGGTAGTAAAATTTTATACATGTACTTTTATGATATCCAAACTATATTAATTATATATTGTTTGAGTGTACCCATTCAAATATATTAGTGTGTAGTATTAATATGTTTTTTTTTTTATATATATTTTAAGTGCAAAGAATTAGGTGGTACATGCCAATGCATTTTTTTTTTTTTAATGTGTGAAGAGCTAATTGGTCTTGAAACTAATTACATCACTTTCAAAGTATTTGGAGAAGGATTGTTAAGTGCCTTGGCAGATTTTCTTAAAGTTGTATATCTCTAAGTAGACTACAAGTCTGACGGGTGTTATCAGTTATTATCATTTTTTTTATATTCATGGCTTTCTCCAAAAGCTTAGGTCAGAGGTTATCTTTCTACTCGATCTTTAGAAAATAGTAAAATGAAATGAAATGCTCCCAACTTTTATATAGAACAATAGTGCCCCCTGGTGGTGATTGTGAGGGAAAGGTATAGGGTAAAATGATATATCTGACGTCATGGGTCACGTCAATAATCACGTGGAAGACCAAACCAAGCCAACATTCCAGGGGGGGATAAAGGGAGTAGCAGGAGCCAAGAGAGGGGATCCAGATCCAAATTCCAAACAAGGCAGTAAGGAAATAAATTCTAAGGGTATAGGTCGGAAGCTAAGGACGGCTGTCCAAAAGGGAACTGAACTAAAGAGAACCTGACTATCCCTTGTTTCTGAACTGTGACCGCTGACTTCTTTCAGACCACTAATTTTAAATTGCTGGTAAAGTATACATTTCTATCTTTATATTAGGCAATTGATTAGCCACATATATATATATATATTCGGATAGACCATTGAGTTCTTGTAGGATCTAGATTAATTTGAGATAATTTTAACTGCAGTACAAATTATGTCTTTCAATCTTGGGAGATAAATATATACATTTGTTATACACATTTGTATAATCTCCAGGAAACTGATTCCAGTTTCTAGTCAATGGCCTAGTCTGATAAATATTTAATTAAATTGGTGGAACTTTGTCTTTACTTTGGAATATAGTCTTGGCTTATAGCCAACCCTGTGCATGATGGGACAAATCTTGCCCATGCGCTGTTAAAAGTTTGAGTTTCTGAATATCTGTTGCTGGGAGAAGTCACATGTCAATTCTGAACCTTTTGTTTTCTTATTCTATGAGATACTGATAAGCAACCCATTGCAATTAAAGTGTCATTTTATTTGGTTACATTTATATTTTGAATAATATCCTGTGGTTACATTTTACGCATTACCTGGGTTATCAAATTGATTGATATTATCTGATACATATTCTTTGTTTGTCACCAATTATATTTTTATTGTTATTCTGCACTGATTTTTAATAAATATATATCTTTTGTATTCCTCTTATCTTCAAGTCAGCGCAAAAAAAAGAACTCGTGTAAATTTTGATTTATGGAAATAAGTTGGGAATCTCCTTAATTACAGATCCTTATTTGTTTCCATAAAAAGAAAACTGTATATCAGAGCAGTATAAACATTCTGACAATAGTGAGATTAATTCACAATGACTGCTTGATATAATTAAATAACATAAAAATGTAAAAAATGTTTTAAAAAATAGTAAAAAGTATAAAAATAAAATAAAGTGTAAAAAAATAGAAGTGACAAATAAAAATGATATATTTAAATATATTTTTATACTATCAAAATTAACCCATACAATGAAAATCTGCAGCTGAGCTGCAGATTTGTTTTTCATCCTAAGGGGTGCATTTTTTTAACCCCCTCATGACAGTAATGTTCAAAGTATGTCGCTGTCACTGAGGCCCCGTTTACACTGAGCAATTTATCGCGAGGTAATCCGCGCGATATCGCGGATATTTACAGCGCGATATGGCTCTCCAATGCATCTCAATGGGGCTTTGTCCGTCGCTGTCGTGGTTCATGTGTCGCTACAGCAGGACCCTTTTTGGAGCGGATTTTGCCGCGATTCTAGGTTGCTCAATGCAACCATTTGCGCGATATCGCGCAAAATGCAAATCGCGCGACAAATGCACGATTTGCAAATCGCTCAGTGTGAATGGGGCCTAAGTGTGACACTTTGTGAAAGTGACATTGTATGCCAGGTGACCACTTTTAGCGAAAAAATATTAAAATGTTAGGTTTTAGTTTTAGGCCGAAAAGTAAATAAAAAATTCTACAATCCTAAGGATGTGAGGTTTTTCCAAATAAAGGACAAATAAATGAATGTATTTATTGCATTTTTTTTTAGCTGTGCTGTTTTTGTACAAAAATACTACAAATCAAAACTGGGGGGGAAAGTGTTTTCTTTACGTTTTTTCCTCTTTTTTTTATATTTTATTTGTCCTAAGTGAGGCGTTAGGGCTATATATTTATTTCACATATATGTACCTATCTGTCCTCTAAAAAACAATATGTAATACGTGTGGGTGCACTTTGTAAGAAAGTATATTACCGACGTGGAAGAATCACACAGCAAAAATGTCAAAAGTGCGTCAGTCATTTACGAACAGAAACTAAAAACAAGCTCATTCATGAATGGGTTAATTAATGGGTTTCTTATTCATACACAACGGTAAACAGATAAGAGATTTTGACAAAGGTGACAAACTACTTATATAGTTACTACATATTTCAATTGCCTACAGCAGGTAAGTTGCAAGTTGCAACCTCATTGCTATCCCCTAGTTCTGAAGCATCTGTGCTTGGGGAGAATAGCCTTTTTTTGGGGACCTCTCTCAAATTACTCACCCAATCCTGAAGAACATGTGGTCTGGTTGAAAAACTCATAAAAACACAGAGGTATTGCACTATAGACAGCTTTGCATATTAGCTTCAAAAAAAATCCTGATGCCATGACAACTTATTAAATGAACTTAAGGCAGAAAAAGCTGCTGGCAAAATTTTGGAGAATCAACACATGTGCCTGTATTCGCCAGGGTTTTACAAATATACCTTTGTAACGGAATGCAATTCTGTGTTTACATTACAGTACCTGAGAAATTACTTTGAAGGCAGCTGTCTTTCCAAGCTTTTCTCCTCCTTTTGTAACTGACTCAGCCGAATGTTTGGCAGTTTTTGCGGCTTCCTCAACCCCTTCTCGGATCTTGCGTCCAAAATCACTCTTAGTAACTTCATCAAGACTCTGTAAACAAAATAATGGAGGTAAGGTACACCAACACATATTTGCAACACATTTAAATAATATAACACTTTGAATATTTGTTCAATTCAATGTAATTAATGGAAATGCTTATAAGATGCTGCAAGTATTTCTTCCATTTATTAATTACATTATTTCATGTGGTATATATATCTTGATAAAGGTTTTCAGTGAGGGAACTGTGCAATCTAGGACATTCAGATACAGCTTCAGCTAAATCACATCGCCTCTACATAGCTTTTAATAAATATTGCATGTGTGTATGTATATACCTTAAAATTAACAAATAACCAAGCTCTACTACATAACAAAGGCATAACAGCTAATGCTACCCTGTCATGTGTCAATTTAACAGGTTGCCTTTGAGGGTAACAGGAGAATTTGTGAATGTATAATGTATGGTCTTGAAATCTTGTGGAATTTTATGGGATGCGTCAAGGGTTTTCTTCCTTCATTGTTTATGTTTGGTAGGCACTCAATTTCATGAGAAACTATCTTGACAACCAAGTATATGTAATCAACTTTTACTGATATAACTTTGCTTGGATGTATGTATTTAGCACTTTACCATACAGCAAAGTGTTTACATGTGTTCATAAATGTCACATTATTACTTCATAAAAGGTCCCTCAGACTGTGTGTAGTTCTTAAATGTAAACCAGCTGTTATACCGAGCGTGGGTCTATAAGAGGAATGATTACTAATGGAAGTGTGATAAATGTGCAGAGCACATATTTGTGTTTCCATTGTAAAGAAAAGATTTGTCATAAAGAAGCCAATGAAGCCATCTTCTGCATCATGCATCATGAACAGCCAGACAATAGTGTTTGCGTAAAAGTTGTAAATCTATTTAACTCCACCTGTTGAAGATCCCTCTGAAACAAGCCCAATCACTTTACTCTTTATCGTGTCAATGCCATTTTTACCCACTTGAAGTCCGCGGTGTTAAACCCCCTTCCCATCCAAGCCATTTTTCAGTATTCAGCACTGCGGTACTTTGACTGACATTTATTCTGTCATGCAACGCTATACTGAAATGAATTGTATACCATTTTTTGTGGACAGATAGAGCTTTCTTTTGGTGGTATTTAATCACCACTGATTATTTTTTACTATATTAAAGGAAAAATTACAGAAAAAAAAAACAAAAAACTGTTTCCCCTTTATTAAATTATAAAACATTTATTATTACCCAATTTTTTGGTAAAATATAAGAGATGGGGTCACGTCGGGTAAAAAAACCCCAAACAAGTCAAGCCTTAAAATTGCGCGCACATGCGAAACCTCAAAAAACTACAATACCCAAAATTGGCCATAGGCGACGCTTTAAAAGCTTTTACCGCTCATCAGTTTAGTGTTATCCGTGATTGATGGCCCTAAAATGATTACTCTCACTCCGATGTTTGTGGCGATATATGTGCGTAAACGTGGGGGACTTTACTGGGTTTTTTGGGTTTTTTTTTCCAAAATAGATTCTTATTTGGGTTTTATCAGGACAACAAGCAAGGATAATTTTTTACTTTTTTTATTTATATTTATTTATTTTTTTACACTTATTGTTATTGCTATTGCATAGGGGGATAACAATCATCAGCTTCTTTTCTCTGGCTATAGCAGCCAGATGACTGACAGGTGAATGCGGAAGTGATGTAATACACTTTACATCACTTCCGCATTCTGATCTCCCTCCAATCTTACCTCCTGACGCCCTCCCGGGCCGCAGATGGGCTAGCGGATTCCGGGATTGAAGGTGAGGGGGGGGCAGCAGCGGCGGCACTCGAGGGGGGGGGGGTCGGACGAACAAATCACCCCATACAACCGATAGGCGGCTATAGAGCCACTGAGCAGTTGTATGTGAAACAGCCGGTAACGGCTGTGCAGAACGGACCGGTTTTTCCTGCCCGGGGGCGCGCGCGAGCAGGAAAAAAATGCCGTCTGCCAAATGCGAGTGTCTGCCGTCCGTCCACTTTTTCTCAACGGGCGGACGGCAGGAGGTTAAACTTGATTTTGAAGATTTTCAAAGTATGCCGCTCCAAGTGAGCCTAAAACCTTAACTTCTTCTTTGCAAATCAAACAAAGTTAATACTGCATATAGGGCAACAACTAATCGATTGAAATTGATAATGAGAATCATTGTCAACTATTCTCATTATCGATTAGTTGATATCGATTAGTTGATTCACCTCCCCCCCACTGCTCTGCACCTCCGTTCTCCTCCTCGCTGGGAACAGCTACATGCTGTGTTCTGTGTCCCTGTGAATTATAGGGGACACAGAGCGCTGCAGCCAGTGCCCATCAGGCAGTAGAGAGCGCTGTGCCCCGTTCCTCCTGTTGTGCCAAGTTTCTTCCGCCGTGCCCCGTTCCACCTGCCGTGCCATATTCTGTGCCCCATTCTTCCTTGTGCTGTGCCCTGTTCCTCCACTGCTCCCCCCTGCCCCCTCTACTATCGGAGGTAGAAAGAAAGCCTGTGTCAAATCTCTCATCCGGCAGCTGAGAGCAATAGCCAGTCTGCTACTGGCTATTTCAAATTGCAGTAGCCAATAGCAGGCTGGCTATTGCACCTGTCCACTGCCTGCTGTCAATCAGCAGAGGGGGACCTGCAGGAGTACTTTTTTCTTCAGTTCCCTCTTCTGTTGTTTGACAGCAGGTGGGTGCAATAGCCATCCTGTTATTGGCTATTGCAATTTAAAATAGCAGGCTGGCTATTGCTCCCAGCCACTGTCTGTTGTGTTTACATTCAGCAGCCTCAGCTGTCATTCCCCAAGTAAGTGGAAAGGTGACATTAGGGGTCTAAATTGACCCCTAATGCCACCTTAAAGAGGACCTGTCACCACCAATGTGCCATCACATAGGGCTTTTGAGCATATATATTTATATATCTATATAATTGTTTTCTCTTCTTTTTCCACTTTTGGTGCGTTATTTTAAATGAAAGGTTTTTTTTTGGTTTTTTTTTGTTTTTTTTTTTTCTTATATTGGCTTAGAGTTTTACAATTCATATTATTTTAAATCCATTAAACTAATTGAAATGTCTAATATAATACATTAAATTATTTCAAACATTTTTAAAAAGGTGGGAAAAGTCATGTTTGTTTTCATCCTGACAAATTCTGCTGTGGTAGGTGCGTTGTGGTGCCATTCATTTTAATGGCACCCCAAACGCACCTTATGTCTGCAGTGTGATCACCCACACTGTAGGGCATGTTAATGCAGTGCCATGCGTTCCAGTGTGCAAAAAATCTTTGTAACACACCATTTGAGTATTTCATTAAAAATAAAAGATGGTATTTTAAGATGAAAATAATCGTTTGTTGCAGCCCTAACTGCATATAGACACTCATAACCCCATAATACATATAACTATGGTAATATCAGCATGTTACATTCATAAAAATGGTTGATTGGGTTGGGACTGTTGAGATCTTTTTCAGAAGTGTAGGTAAGCTCACTTTAGATAGATACGCATGAACTGGCAATGTAATATTCTGATATTATTGCCATAGTTATAAATATTTGTGGGGTTATGAGTGGCTATTTGTGGTTTTAGCACCCTCTGAAGGTGCAGTGAAAAAAGTGAACACTTTCAACATTAGCTTATACTGCATACGTTTTGTTTGATTAAGTGTTCTATGAACTAATGCAACTTCTGTTAGGCTAGAAGTAAGCCTACTTAGATAACCACCTCCAATTGCAATAATGTTCCACCTAAATCCTAGTTGGCCTACCCATTAGGTATTTCCTGAGATATTAAAGACTAGGGCAGCAACTAACAGTTATTTATTTTTTTAATCGTTTTACCGAAACGATTAAAGAAGAAAAAAAAAAAACATCTTTTATTTAACATAAAATACACAAATGCAATGCTACAAAGTTTACTTCAGAATAAATTGTTATGCACATTTTTTTGCAAATCGCACGGCATTGCAGTACCGTGCGTTTCAGTGCGGGCGATCAACTTGCAGACGGGAGGCGTTTTTGGGTGCCATTGAAATGAATGGCACCAGAGCACACATTTGCACACCAGAGCAAAAAAAAACCTCTTTTCAAGCACATGATGGGTTAACTGAAGGAAACACAGCTTCACCTTATTTACCATAACATAGTAAATATTTACTTTACAAACTGAAATTTCATTTTAAGTGAATAGCCTCTCCCCCTTTAAATCAACCCCAGTGTCCATAACACATGAAGTAGATAAGAAAAAAAGTCAAACTAAGCAAACATGGCAATAATATTTACCTTTTACAATTGAAAGCAAAGGTTATTCTCACCAGAAAACAAATCCGTATGTCATTGATATGATAACTTTCCATTTTTGACATAAATACCAAATGTTGTATAGTTTAGCGTTTGTTGAACGCAAAATCAATGAAACATTTGCACCAAATTATGTTCTGGATTTACAACCTTGGTACTTCTCAAAACATAAATGAATATAAAAAAGTTTGAATAAAACATGATTAATTACAGATGTATCTTCACGTATTCTGGTCTTATCTTGGCTTAGCCTTTATCTGGACGGAGGTCAGGGAGGAATATCTGACTGGGTGGATTTGTCGTCTGACCCTGCAGCCTATCTTCCCCATCTCTCGAAATTTGAGACATCGGTATAAAAACTCCCTATTGCTTCATCTCTTGAATGCAGCCAAGCAGTGCATTCCCGCCCTGTGGAAGCAAACCTGTCCTACTCAAGCACTGTGGTTCTCCAAGATTAAGGAGATTGAGCTGATGGAGGGCCTTACTGCCTCCTTATACCAACAGTAAGACAAGTTCAACCAAACCTAGTTCTATTGGCAAGCTTCACCTTTTCAGATGCTTATAACAATGTCATGTTGAACGCTGATTCATAGGATGGCTGAGACTCTCGGGTTGCTCTGCACTCTGGTATGATCGCCCTCTTTATTATTCCGCTAAAACCTATCCCTCATGAATGATGAGCCTGTTCCTTTTCCATCTATTTTTTGTTTTTCTAGATAGAGGCCAAAGGGCGCTGGAAAAAGATCGCCATGGCTGAAACTTAACCTTTGACAGTACTAAGCACCAAACACTGACCCACTCCTCTTTGGAGGAATGCCAGGAGCCTAGCCACAGAAAAGGTGCGTGGCGACACCTGAAGAGACTTACACCATGAGATATAGGCCTTCCAAGTACGATGGTAAATCTTTCGCAATGTAGACTTACGATCCCTAAACTTAGTAGAGATAAAAAGAATCAGACATTCAACAGAATTCAACAGAAACTTGGCTAGGCAGTGCACATGACTGGGCAACCAATGTACAAGGGTTTAACCTGTTCAGGAGGGACAGGGTTGGTAGAAAGGGGTTAGAAGGGGGGAGGGGTATGCATGTATGTAAAAAACAATCTAACTGTGCACATACAAGATGACCTCATGACAGAGTTGTGATGGTGTAGAGTCCTTGTGGCTAGAACTAGGTAAGACTGAAGCTAGTTGTAAAATAATTGTGGGTGTGTGTTATAAACCCCCGAACATAGATGAAGAGGAGGAAGCTATCCTGCATTCCCAAATAGAAATAGCTGGGAAGCAGGGAAATGTTGTTATAATGGGTGACTTCAATTACTTGGACATTGATTGGTTAAATGGAACCTCTCATTCTATAGAGGCTGGCCGTTTTCTGAACGTGTTGCGGGACAATTTCATGAATCAGATGGTTGAGGGCCCAACCAGGAAGAATGCAGTACTAGATTTATTCATTGTATTCATTTTTAATAATAATATTAATAATAATACATTGGGTAATAGTGATCACAGGGTGATTACTTTTAATGTTGGGTACAGAAAAGAGAAGTATGTTGGTTTGACAAGAAATTTCAGAAAGGCAAACTTTGATAAGCTACGCCAGCTAGTATGCGACACTAAATGGGACAACTTCCACAGAAAGGATGTCCTGGAGCTGGAGAGCGTCCAGAGAAGGGCAAAAAAACTAAGGGACTGGAGGACCAAAGCTATGAGACAAGGTTACCAAATGTAAACTTGTTATGCTACAAGTGAGGCAATTAAGAGGGGACATGATTTTGATGTACAAAATGTTTAGTGGTGGTGGCAACATCAGCAATAAACTTTTTACAGTAAACTCCATAACAAAGACTAGAGGCCACCACCTAAAATTGGTGGAGAAAAGATTTAACCAAATGGGGCAAAGGGGCTTCTTTTCAGTTAGATCAGTTAAAGTCTTGAACCCAGCAGTGGTATCAGCTGAGAGTATTGAATCATTCAAAAAGCATTTAGACACCTTCCTCAGAGACCGTAACATACAGGGGTACAGGTACTCTTAAATACAAGATCACACAATGACTCGTATACACACATATAAATGCACACACACACACGGTTGAACTTGATGGACCTGTGTCTTTATTCAACCTCAAATACTATGTAACTATGTAGCCCTCTACCCTTAACACCTGGCTTTTAATAGCCACATTGTTAAAGCCAGCGACTTTAAAGATGGATTGTAAATGGGGCCTTGCGACGCAGATGTAGAGGAAGTCGCTACGAAACATCCGTGACCAGACATATCAGATGTGCATACCAGGGACGCCAAGGCCAATTCGGAGCTAGCAGAAAAACCAGAATCCCCTTGACCTCCACCTGCCGCAGAACCCTTGGTAGAAGCTTACAAGGAGGGAAGCCATAAATTAGTTCTTACTTGTTCCAAATTTGGATGAAGGGCCCATTCCCTTGATCCAGACCTTGACAACTCTTAATATGTGTGCCAATTTTCCACGGACAGAGCTGGAACGTGACTTTCCGCCCAATGCAGGAATCGAGACACCTCCAGCGCAGCGGCCCGACTCCTTGTGCCTCCCTGATTTATATAAGCCATGGCCGTGGCATTTTCTGACTGAATCCTAACATGATGCCCACGCAGGAGATCTGTCCATTTGCAGGAGGCGAAGCCTGATCGGCAACCGTTTCAGGACATTGAATCAGTAATTCGGACTCCTCCCTGGTCCAGCCGCCCTGTGCTGACCATTGCCGGTCACCCCACCCTCAGCCCAGGACACTGGCATCTGTCATCACCACCACCAGGGCATTGAAAGAAAAGATTTCCCGTTCATCAACAATGGCGATCGAAGCCACCACACCAGAGAGGTCTTGACCAACCGCCTCTCCCACATTTGCCTGTCAAGCAACGAGAGCGACTTGCCCCACTGAAAAAGGATCTCCCGCTGCAGAATCTGTGTGTGGTATTGTGCATATGGAAATGCCTCACACGCAGAAAACATTAGTCCGAGTGCCTGCATGCACGTGTAGATCGAGGCCCAAATCGCGCCCTGGCGAGACAAGTGTCTAGAATCAGGCCGAAGTGATGGCAACAGGACATATTTCTGGACATTAAAATCCGCCTCCAATGTGTTTATTGCCACCGCCAGATTGGCATCCAGGTCCGAACGAGACTCTGCCCGAAGACGAAGGTCATCTGGGTATGCCACAATCGCGATCCCCCGCTGTCTCAGCAGGCCAAGAACCGGAGCCAAAACCTTGGTGAAAATGGGAGTGGCAGGCGCCATGCCAAAAGGAAGGGCCACAAACTGGAAATGCTCCTCTCCCACCTCAGAAAGCATTCAAGTGCGGAACAAATCGGGACATTTAAGTAGGCATCTTTGATATTGATCAATGCCAGAAAATCTCCGATGGAGAGGACACCACCGAACAGACTCCATCTTGAACTTCCAAACCTTGACGAACCCATTGAGCGCCTTAAGATCCAGGAGCGGGCGGACACCCTTCTTCTTGGGAACAGTAAAGAGGTTTGCGTAGAAGCCCCACAATCTTTCTGACGGTGAACTTGGACCACCACCCCAGAGCGCAGCATGTCCTGAATTGCCACCTAAAGGTCGCAGAGACGCAACAGGGAAAGACAAAGATTGGACAGAGAAAACAGGGTGGGGGAGGGGAGAGAAATTAGATTTTGTAACCCAAGAGAACAAGTTTGCAAACCCAACCGTCCAAGATGTGAGACAGCCAGCAATCCGCAAACCAACAAAGACGTCCCCCCAACTTAAGTTCATGCAAAAGAGGACATCTGAGCTGGCTTGGAAGGCCAGGATTTTTTGGAACGTCCGGAGGAGGACTTACCTGATTTCTGTCAGACATGCCTTCGGAGCAGATAAAGAAGGGCCCTGCTAACGCCACAGTTCCACATTTGCATACATGCGGCCAATTCCACATATGCAGGGGACACCCGTTCTCTCCAGACCCTACCCACTCAGTATGCGTCTGAGACACTAAGCCCATAGCCAGAACGGTGATGGTATACATAGATCGTGCAACTGCCTTCACTTTCCTGTCCGTCGGATCCTTAAAATAGGAGATTCCTACACCGGAAATCATCGTCACCTTCTTCAAGCGGGATACAGGAAGATTCACCACCGGGGGAGAAGTCCACTTTTTCAAAAAGCCATCGTCCAAAAGGTACTGCACAGAAAGCACTTAGGTAAAACAAAAGACTTAGCAGGGCATTTCCATTCCTTGTAAAAAAAGTAATATAAAAAGAAATGGTAGGGAAAAACTTTTGCCGACCATCGCGACTTGTACCAAAGGAGACCAGAATATCTGGTCGAACTCTCCCAGAATCCTCCAATTTAAGAGTCTCACGCTCAGACTTAACCCCTTCATGACGGGCGACGTACACTGTACATCCCGCCACAAAGGGACCAAATGACTCGTCATGTACACTGTACGTGACGAGTTATTTGCTGCACTAGAAGGCTGGTAACCACTGAGAATCAGCGGTTATCATTCATTAATGGATGCCTCAGTATAGAGGCATCCATTAATGAAAGGGTTAACCTTTTTCAGACACCCGATACCTGAAGATCGGGTGTCTGAGAGTCAAAGCAGAACCTCTCTCAAGCTATACTGGCTTTTTTTTTTCTTTCACTTTCAGGTATAGATACATAAATGTATCTATTCCTGAAAGAAGAATGTTTCAGTTTTCTGATGGTTGTTGTAACAATCAGAAAACTAGTGACAGCTGAATCCTGAACTGCTGCAGGATCAGTGTCACTAACTTATTATCGGCTGTTCTGAAGTATGAAGCAGCCTGATAATAACCAAAAATGTATTAATTTATCAAGCAGTAACAGTGAGATTAATTCACAATGACTGCTTGATATAATTAAATAAAATAAAAAAATTTAAGTTAAAAAAAATTGTGAAAAGTGTAAAAAAAAATAAAAAAAAAATAAAGGGACAAATAAATGAATTATTTATTGCATTTTTTTTTAAAACTGTGCTGGTTTTGTAAAAAAAAAATACTACAAATCAAAACTGGGAAAAAAGTGTTTTTTTTTAACACTTTTTCCTCTTTTTTTTATATTTTTTTTGTCCTAAGTGAGGCGTTAGACACACATATGTGATATAAATATGTAGTCTGTCCTCTAAAAAACAATATATAATATGTGTGGGTGCACTTTGTAAGAAAGTATATTACTGACGTGGAAGAATCACACAGCAAAAATGTCAAAAGTGTGTCAGTCATTTACGAACAGAAACTAAAAACAAGCTCAGGGTTAATAAGCGCAGAAATCAATTCCTTTTCTTGTAAAAAAGATGAGTCGTCATCATCACTGTCGGACTGACCGGACAACGCAGCCTCCACAGAGACCGCAGCTGACGGAACAACATCTCGCTTCAAAACGAGGAGGCGGACACTTCCTACCCTGACCAAGGGAGAAGGCCTGTTCAATGTGCATAACGAACCCCTCCAGAACAGAAGTAAGCGCATCCATGGGGATGCAAGGGCCCAAAGTCTCAGAACCCTCCTGAGAAGAGCAAGACGGCCCGGGTAGGGGCACTGGAGGAAGGCAAAGCTCCGCCTAAATTGCGTTGTTTACCCATATCTTCAGAATAAAATCACTTCTACTGTCGTGGTAAACAACCTGCTTCCCTATTTATAAAGGTCTGGCCCTCTAGCAACTTCAGCGTAAAATTATAGCTAATTTGCCTACAAACGTCAGGTGGTCATAATAATCTGGCCACTCAGTGTATATATACACATACATAAATACACATACATAAATACACATACACAGGGCTTGAAAAAGAACGCCTCAACAGTCACTTAAAAATTTCACCAGTCAGCATGACCGGACTATAACCTTGCAATTTATGTTAACATTTTTAGGGACGCATAGAGCTTTCTTTTGGTGGTATATAATCACTACTGGGGTTTTTATTTTTTACTACATAATGAAAAAAATACTGAAAATTCTGAAAAAAACTAAAAGTTTCCATTACGTTATGTTTTAAAACATCTATTCTTATTCATTATATATCTATTCATATTTTTGGTAAAACATAAATAGTGAATTTATTTATATGGTAAATAGACGCCAAACAAGTCAAGCTTTAAAATTGTGCGTGCCCGCAAAAATCACAAAAACGACCACACCGAAAATTGGCCATAGGCGACGCTTAAACTATTTTATTGCTCATCAGTTTAGTGTTATCAGTGATGCAGTGATGAATGGCCCTAATATTATTGCTTGCACTCCGACGTTAGCGGTGATATGTAACTTGTGCGGCACAATAGGTGCAATCGTCGTTTTCGCACGTAGACGAAAACGACGATTTAGGTGGACTAAAAAAAATTAATTGGTTTTCAATTTTTTATGCTTTATTTTTTTATTACTTTTTTTTCCCACAGCTTTATTGCCATCACATAGAGGACTAAGAAGCCCCCTAGGTGATAGCAAATGTACATGACAGGTCCTCTTTATGAAGACATCAGGGGTCTCCAAGACCCCTAATGTCACCTAGGGACCCCAGAGAAGCTGATGAAGCAGATACCTGCTTTACCAGCTTCTCAAGCTGGAGAGTGACAGCAGAATGTGAAAGTGATGTGATATACATCACTTCCTGCATTCAAGGACGGAGAGGAGGAGATCAGAGGGAGATCGTGTACAGATCTCTCGTCACAGAGCAGCCATGCAGGTCCCGGCCGCACCGGGCACAGCAGATCTCGGGACCGGCAACGGCAATGATAGCTGCTCCTATACAAGCGATGGGGCGTCTCTAGAGACGCCCCATCGCTTGAATGTAAAGCTCCCGGCCGGCCGTTTCATTAGAATGGCCGGCCGGGGAGCTACTTGTCGTGCTCCGCCGTCCTCTCGTCACAGACGAGAGGACGAGCGGATTTTTGAAGCCCTGTATGTATGACATACATACAGACACACATATAGGTTGAACTAGATGTCTTTATTCAACCTTATCTACTAACGTTAACATAGTAACATATTACTATGTTAATGTTCACGCAAAAAAGTGAAAAATATTTCATAATAGGGATGCCCTAAGAAAGAATCATAACTAGGACAGGTGCTAACACACTGGTGAAGTTGAAGGAGAAGTTGCCATTCAAAAGTCATCCTTACAAGGCACTTATTGCATGTAGGATCAACAACTGAGCCAAAAGATTCTTCATATGTATAGCAAAAGGAGGCTCATTCTGGATATTTGGCAGAACCATTCATGGTCCCTAGTCATGTTAAAAATGGACCAGACAGCTAGAGTCTGGAAAAAACTAAATGGTCGCAGGAGCAGACTGCATGGTTTGACCTGTCAGGGGAAACAGGCCCTTAAAGCTGAAGTTCAGTTAAAACTGTTTTTTAATTATACAGCAGCAAAAGCACAATAACTCTAATTAAGTGTACCCCACATCCTGCTGGCTGCTGATTACTGTGGAATGCCTACCTTCAGTGATGCTGGATCCTCTTCACAGTGGTGGACTGTATGAGTTAGGGATTCTGCTGTTAGTTAAGAACAGACCTCCACTCACCCTCACTTTCCATCACCCCTGCTCATTCACATAATTCCTTGCATTCTATCCATAGAGTATAAAGCATTCTATTAGAGAAGCTGGGGATCCTGTCATTCATCTGCCTTTTCTCCACTCACAGAACACTGTGAAAAGAATGCCAGGAATTCTAAAAAAGGGCAGGGTGGGGGCAAAAGGCGAGAGTGAGCATTGCCCAGTTTGTTTACTAACAGCACAAACCGTTAACTCATACAGTGCCAGATGTACATCATTGTCCAGAGGATCCAGCTGCCCTGAAAGAAGGACTTCGACAGGGACCAACAGCCAGCAGGAAATGGGACACACCCAACTAGAGTTAAAAGGAGAACTATGGGGTCAGTGCTTTTCCCCGCAGTTCTTCTAAGGGTAACGGAAGGACACAAACTAGCGTCCTCCTGTCACCCAAAGCTCAGTATACCGCGAGCTACAGCTTGCGGTATACTGAGCCGCCACAACCGGGACGGATCCCGATAATACCGTCTGGATCCACCCAGCTGCGTGAGTGACAGCTGGCTCTGCCTATCTAGAGGCAGATCCAGCTGTACTCGCCCCCTCCCCGTCCGTTCCGCCAGTCAGCACTGGAGGATCGGACAGGAAACGGGGGGAATCCCTGCAGGGAGCCGTGAGTGACCGTCACGGCTCTCTGCAGGTGCAGGATCAAGACGTGAGCAAGCGACGGTATGTGTTCACTCACTGAGTGATTTTCACTCGCCTCATAGTTCTCCTTTGAGTTATTTCCCTGCTGCTGTGTACGAAAAACATTTT